ATTTTAATATAAAATATAAATTTATGTAAATAATGATACATATGTAAAGATAGACGAGAAGTTAATCTTATCATTAGTATATTATATGTGAAATCGACATATTTTGTGAAAATATCATCTCTATTCTTTCAGAATTCTGATCGAATTCTAATGCTCTCTCTGTCTCTCTCTTTAAATAGCTCTAGCGTCTATTAATTATATCGAAAATGATGTGCTAACTTTACAAAGGTGCGAAACCACGATTAAGGATATACGTAGATGAAAAGATGACTTAAATATACCGGTCATAAATCTAATAAATATCAGATGCGTTTTTGCCGCTCGTTATAATCACCGGTCTCATATCGCAGATTAATTTTTCTCTTTGATGAATGCACAAATTGCAACGGAAACTCTCTGTCCGATGTATCGCCATTCTCGGTAATGCGTATCCATGAGCGTTATACGCGAAAGTTTCAAGATACACGTGTAGACCGAGAAGGGAAAATTGATTTCGGTCATCGCCACCTGATTTTTTGCTGGACCCGCTCGTCTCGGTGCACTCTAATTCGATTTTAATACCCGTCTCTAAGAATCGGACGAGCTTGATCTCCTCGACGAGGGAACGTCTCGTCGAGTCATGTACGCAGGAGCCGAGATCAAGAGCGGAATCATCGTGCGCGAAACGTCATCGCGATTAGTTGGAAATAGAGATAATAAGATATAAGAACAATTAAAGTTTAAATGAGAGATATTGATAGTAACAAGGTACTGCGTAAGGAAAATTACAATTAATAATATTTCCTTATTTCAGTTAACAGGAATTGTTATTTGAACTCTTCTATCGACAATTATTAAATAAAATTAGACGTTGTGTGATTGAAATAACAAAAAAATAGTTAACTAATTCGACAGATTTATAAAATACCATTTTATAAAATACTGTAACAAAAGAATCTACGATTAAAATTGACTTCTTCATGAATTTAAACAGTATCATATAAATGAGATAATATCTGATTAATAATCTAAGATAGAGAGAATTTTTTTTATTAACAATAAAGCGAGCGGTTCGTATTTTGAAAAAAATCAGAATACTCCAGTCACGAAGTATATATTGTCATAGATACGCGTTGCTCGAAGTGGCGGCGTGGAAGGGAGCGACCAATGAGAGTGGGAAGGAGTGGGGGGATCAGTGCTCCCACCGTTCCGTCAGACGCGCGCCTGAATTCAGTCGGTCCGCGGAGCGCAAACTGTCAACATTGTGGAGCGTCGACGCTCGCACGAGTGTTTTTGTTTCGCGAGTTTTTTTTATTTTACGGAATCTTTCTCTCGCGTGAATGTGACGTCGATACAATAGTTTCGCAAAAACATTAATACGAAAAATTATTTCACGCGCGCGAAGAGAGGAGAGAAGAAGAACAAACTTCGGCGTCGGTTACATGACTTGACGCGCGGTCGACTTCAGAGAGATACCATCGCCTCACCGGAGTGTTGCGTTCGCGAGTTGCACCGATGTGATAAGCGCGATAAACAAAGCTACGAGGGGGATGATGCCCGAACGGGCCCGTCGGCGAAGCTGGATCGCGCGACGTGAGTGAGAATCGAGATCACGTGCTCGAGTTCAGAAACAACAAGATCGGAGTGTAAACTGTCCGCGTTTTCGCGCGCACCTCGTGTCGCGTATGTGAATACGTTCACGCTTGTGAACGTTCGCTTGTGTTCGTGACGCAGTATCATTGTTGACGCGAAAGTGAATCGAAACAATCAATTGAGAATATCGAACGGCACGTGCCGGATCGACGGAGACGAGAGTGAATTCGCGGATCGAGTAAAGTGATTTATAGCCGTCAATAGTGATCGCCGGTGCGGGCTCCTTGTTGGTGATTAGTGACGGAAAGAATTTTAAGGGAGAGAAAAAAAGAAAAGGAAGAGGAGTCACGCGGTCGACGCGTCAACCAGTCGGTGGAGGTTACGGTTTAGTGTGCTCCAAGGGGAAACCGGAAGCCGCTATATTGGAGAGGAAGCGAGAAAGCGGCGTGCCGCTCTTCTGTGTGCCGCGACAGAGGCGCTCGTCCCAGCCCGAAAACGTGAGTTTTATTGTTTTTTTTATTGTTATGTATATATATACCTTGTATAATCGATGTGTCAGAATGTCAGTTGAAATACTCTACTTTAAGAGATTAAACTGTCCGCGTTTTCGCGCGCACCTCGTGTCGCGTATGTGAATACGTTCACGCTTGTGAACGTTCGCTTGTGTTCGTGACGCAGTATCATTGTTGACGCGAAAGTGAATCGAAACAATCAATTGAGAATATCGAACGGCACGTGCCGGATCGACGGAGACGAGAGTGAATTCGCGGATCGAGTAAAGTGATTTATAGCCGTCAATAGTGATCGCCGGTGCGGGCTCCTTGTTGGTGATTAGTGACGGAAAGAATTTTAAGGGAGAGAAAAAAAGAAAAGGAAGAGGAGTCACGCGGTCGACGCGTCAACCAGTCGGTGGAGGTTACGGTTTAGTGTGCTCCAAGGGGAAACCGGAAGCCGCTATATTGGAGAGGAAGCGAGAAAGCGGCGTGCCGCTCTTCTGTGTGCCGCGACA